TGCCCTCTGCCCTCTGAGCATCATCGTTTCCATTATAGTGTTCAGTGAAAAAGTCTGTGGGATGCTAGCAAACACTAGCAGTTCTCAGAATCTTAGGACATCGGTAGTAACACATGTGCAATAACCAAAAACAGGTTCCTTCAATCTTTTCATCTCATTAAATGTCCAGCCGGTTGCCTTCAGAGGTGACTCAGAGAGAACCCACTGGCCTGCCCAGGAACGACACCTGCATCAGCTGTTGGCTTTCTGCACATTGACGTCAGCAGAATGCCCTGTCCTGTTCTTAGCGCCACCTTGACCAGTAGCACCCACGTGTGGGTGATTCCCAGCTCTGGTTTCACAATGTCTCCGGGAAGGCAGTTGAGTACAAGAGGCAGCCTGGGACCAGGGAGGGTGGAGCTCTGACTTCAAGAACCAGTTTCCAGTAAAATCTGGACACAGACAAAGGGTGTTGCTCACCACCTTCTGACTTCTCCATTCAGCATGATTTCCTTCTTGGGGGGCACATGTGACCCCCTCTCCCCTTATATCACCTACCCCAAAAAATCTGCTCAAAGTAAACTTTTACACAGACGAACAAGTGATCCGTGCTAATTATCACTCACCCCTCCCCCAAACAGAAGCCCTACAGGAGCTGTTGTTTTCTTACTGCTCTGACAGTGCCTGGCATGTAGTAAGTGCTCAATAAACCTTTGTTTACTGGAGGAATAAACTTAATCTTTTAAAATCAATATTATTGGAGCGCCTGGCTGGCCCAGTGGTTAAGTGACTGCCTTCAGCTCAGGTTATGATCTCAGGACCCTGGGATGGAGCCCCGTGTTGGGCTCCCTGCTTATTGGGGAGACAGCTTTTCCCTCTCCCTCTGTTGCTCCCCCCTGCTTGGGCTCTTGCTCTCTCTCTGTCAAATAAATAAATGAAAAATCTTTAAAAATAAATAAATTAAGGGCGCCTGGGTGGCTCAGTCGTTAAGCGTCTGCCTTCGGCTCAGGTCATGATCCTGGAGTCCCTGGATCGAG